AGAAATGCCACCTCCAAGAGCCTTGAAACAATTACAATCTTTTCAAGGAAAGTTGGCGTATCTAAGATGCTTTATCTTCAATCTATCAGGAAGGTATCAGCCCTTTTTGGCATTACTCAGAAAGGACTCCAAATTCTATTGGGGTGATGCATTTTAACGGGCTTTTGAAGAAATTAAATAATACTTAATGAAACCTCCTATATTAGCAACCCCTATCCTGGGAAGACCTTTAATACTTTATATCTTGACTTTAGATGACTCTCTCAGAGCATTATTAGCTCAGGTCAGTCATGAGGGTAAGGAAAACGCATTCTACCACCTGAGACGATGTCGAATGCCAGCAGAGGTAAATTATCCTACTATTGAGAAACATTATCTAGATTTGATTTTCGTTGCTCAAAAGCTTATACATTACATGCTTTCTCATAAGGTCAGCCTGCTTTCGAGGTATAATCCGTTGCAATATTTAAAGACCCCCTGACGCTTTCCGATAGTTTAGCAAGGTGGTCAATGATTATATTGTAATTTGATATAACCTTCGTGCCTCTTCACGTTATCAAAATATAGATTCTGGCAGACTATCTCGTAGAACACACACTACCAGCTGGGTCCCCTCTCAACGATTTATTAGACGAATAAATAATGCATGTGGAACAGCTCAGTGCTCAAAGTTGGGAAATGTACTTTGATGGAGCTTCGTCAGCTAGAAGGGATAAATAACTAGAGACACTGATGCCCGACAAAGCATAAAACACTTTGGTCTTTGTTACACCAGATCAGGGGATGTTGAGCTTCTCTTACCACCTGACAGAACTGTGCACCAATAACAAAGTAGAGTATGAAGCTTTGATAAACATACTAGAATTAACAATATTAATGAACATAACATTCATCGTCATCTACGGTGACTCGCAACTCATTATTCAACAAGTAGTTGGTTTGTACAAAATTTTGAAACAAAGGTTGCAAGAATATCATCATTATACAATGAAACTATTGGAGCAAATTCCTAACCTGACATTATACAGAATTCCTCAGGGAAATAATGCTCGTTCTGATGCTTTAGTTAAACTTGCTAAGGAATTTACGTGTACGTCGGAAGTCTCTGTTAACATCACCGTGCAAGTACGTCTGGTCTACGATGATGTTTGATTACATGGAGATGGCCAAGATGAATCACCAATGTCAGGTGCAGGGAGTGGTTTTGCACCAACCTTCGAATGTACTACATCCAAGAGTCACGTCATAGCCACTTGAGTGTTGGAGCACGGATATAGTGGGTATCATAGACCCTCCATCTTCGAAAAAGCACTGATTCCTTCTTATAGCTACTCTCCAAGTGGGCAGAGGCAATGCAGTTATGAGAAGTTACAGTGCAGCGTGTTCTTTAGTTCTTTAGGAATTAGAGTGTCTACCATTTCGGTGTTCTACAATGGATTATTTCAGAAAATGGTCCACTTTCAAGAGCACAAAGATTAATAGCTTTGTCAGGCGGTACGGGATAGATTGGAGGTGCTCTACAATCCACTGCCCAAGAGCAAATGGTCTAGCAAAAGCTTTCAAGAAGACACTCATGCCAATCTTAAAAAACACTGGTCAACAACAAAAGAGTATTGCACGAGAGGCTATAAAAAATTTCATGGGCATACAGGACAACGGTCAGGACTCCGATGCATCCTACACTGTACGCATTTGTGTACGTGTTCGAGGCAGTGCTTCCGTTAGAGGTGTAGTTACCTTCTCACAGAGTCTTCATGGAAAAAAAAATTACAACTGAAGAGAATGCCAAGCTTTGACTTCTAGAATTGGAGAGTCTCAAAGGGAAGCACAACATAATTTGGAGCTCTACCAGACAAAGATGATTCAAGCCCATGAAAAACCGGTCCGCCGAAGGAAGTTCAAAGTAGGTATAATTTTGAACCAACATGGGAAGGTTCGTTCATGGTGGAAAAGGTTTACTCTAAAGGGTCGTACCAGTTAGTGGATTATCAAGGAGAAAGACCTATCTTGTTGATCAACGGACGATATTTGAAGACGTACTATGCAATGTGATGTCCCAAAGAACAAACTCTGCAAATGATATTTGTCCTTAAACATAGCCACATAGCCAATGTCTGTGACTGGTCCCATGAAAATTTGTAATAATGAAAATTTTGATGAAATAAATCTGTGTTAAGAGTCTCATACCTTAAAAGTTAAATTTTTGCTAAATGACGAACTTTCTCAAATCAAAAAAGATAAAATGTTTGCATATGATTTAAAATTCACCTGATAATGAATTGTTATTATTCTTGTTTACTTTGAATTTCAGCTCACTGACATTTTTCATAGCTTCTGCAAGAAAATTTGAGGCTGAAGTTGATTTTCTCTTTCAAAGATGGCTTAAATCTCGCACTACACAAGAAGAAGATGACACAGGGTGGTGTCATAAACTTTTATCTGGACTACGACCAGATTGATCTAGATTATCAATGACACTGAAGGTTATCGAGCAAAATGATACGGATGGATTAGAATCATTAATCAGAATCCGCCACAAGGAGGAAGTGTCAGCAAAGAGGAACAATTCTGAAAAGGTTACAAGGGCAGTTCCCGATACTCATGGCCAGGCGGGAAAGGTTACACAAATGCAGTCAATAATCATGACGTAAAAAGGGGGAATTGGTCGGCGCCTCTTCAAAAGGAAGACCGCTAAGACGGATGCAGTGAAGAAATGCCAACCACCACAAACACAGAGCAATCAATCACATGGAAAGAAGTAAAGACAAAGAATTAGTGGGATGTGTTCCATTTGCAGAGGAGGAAGTCCACGTTTAGCCAGTGGAAGAAATACTCGCGTAGCTCCCGACAAGAAATGATTATCCTAAAATTGCAATGGAGCCTCCTTTGCTAGAAAGCATGCCTACAGAGCCATGCATGGGATGTTTGAGCTGTAAAGCTGATATAGTGAGGCCAGTACTACCATATTACATGCCAGCTGGGTCATTTACAAAGTGCCCGGAATGTCATGTTCTCTATTTAGAATGTTACAGATCCTTGGAAGAATACATGGAAGCTTTGGTCGTTCTTAGGAGTATAGAGCACCCATATGTAGAGCCTTATATACCCCAGTATGTTGAGCTGCAACACTTACAGATTATTCCTAGATATGAGTTGGAAAAGATGCAAAGGGTCTGGGAAAAATCAAATAAACACCATTTAAAAAAAAAATTCATCCCCACATTCATTTGAAGAAATCAATTATTAGATGTGCTCTTATGTTAGTTTTACTGTGGTGCTAGTGATGTGTTTTTCAATTATTGTTTGTGATACAACTTCACAAGAAATTCAAAAAAAATCAATAACAATATACTCTTCAACAACATTTAAATAAAAACTCATAACCACTTTAGCAACTTCAAATCCGTTTGAAGTTCAAAAAGCAAATAATTCAGAAACTGCAGCTGAAGAACACTCTAATTACGCCTTAATAACACTACAATAACACCAGAAAAGGCTAAATAAAACCAGTTTAAAAAAAATGCAATGTTATTCCCCACATTATTTCATTTTCCGCAGAGTTATTTGTAAATTCAATGGTGTTATTCGAATATTTCGTGTGTTATTCCAAACGTGCGGTGCTATTGGACATGAGACGTGGTGTTATGCAAATATTCCTTATGCATTATTTCATTTTTTGCAGTGTTTTTTATCAATTTTGTGGCATTATTCGAATATTTCCTGCATTATTTCAAATGTGCGGTGCTAATGGGCATGAGACATGGTGTTATGCGAATATTCCTTATGCGTTATTTTGTTTTTTGCTGCGTTATTTTTCTATTCTGTGAGTTTATTTAGGAGAAAAGTAGTGTTATTCGAATATTTCCAATGTTATTATGTTGTTTCCGCATTGTTATTTGGGAAAACTTTTCTTTATTAATTTTTATTTATTGCTTTATTTAAGTTTTAATTTGAATAAAAACATATTTGATGTTATTTCTAGTTGTATGTGTTTTGTACATAATAAATATTATGCATTTTGAATGTTATTAGAGTGTTATGAACTCAATAACAATCCGGCATATATACAACTTTGGAAATATACTCAAAATCAAAACAATACAGCACATATACAACTTTAAAACACCACAGGAAAGAAAAATGTGTTATGAACTCAATAACACCTAATAACATCATAATAACACCAATGCACAGTTTCATTCTCGTGTTATTTCGTTTTACTTTTTGGGGTTTCTTTGGTGTTATTTCGACGATCACACCATAAAACCACCAGCATAACACAAGCACAAGTACATAACACGGCAGTAACACCAATATGCTTCTTTCATGTTTATTGTCGTGCTATTTTTGGCCTTATTTTTAATAATTTAAGCTTCATTGTGTTCCAAAAAAAAGACATTATTTGTTGCAACAGTAAACAAAACCTCGATGCTTTGAAGAACTCCTATTTTCTTCTGTTTACCTGCGACCTTTAATTTTTCTATATTGTCAAACCCTAAACCTCTGAACTTCAAACGAAATGATTTTTTTTTTCAGCTTGTAACAATGGTTATCCTATTTGGAACAATAGCCATCTTCTCTGTCGTTCACCGAAACCCTAGGTCCGAAATCTAAAAGACGAAACGACGAAAAGGTGTTTTATGGCCTTTTCGCGTTCCTTTTGGCGTAATATGTTTTCGTAACGTGAAAGATTTGGGTTAGGGTCGGGTCAGGACGAGCATGCATTTTTTTTTTTTTTTACCGGGATTCTGTGTGGGTCCCAGAATTCCACGTATCGTCATTTTGTTGGGCTCCGAACTTAGCTCTACGTTCGGAGTCCGAACGTAATCATAACGTGAAAGGCTTGGGTTAGGGTCGGGTCAGGACGAGCGCGCGTTTTTTTTTTACCGGGATTCTGTGTGGGTCCCAAAATTCCACGTGTCGGCATTTTGTTGACTTCGAACGTAGCTCTACGTTCGGAGTCCAAACAGAATATTTTTATCCTAACATTGACAGTCACGTGATAAACACTTGCTGCAAACCAGTTTTGAAACATCATGAAATAGTTAACACCAGTAACACCACCCATACACATATTGAGAAGTTTTCTTCCTCTACATAAATTCAACCTGTATGTTGATGATATAAGCCATTAGTTCGAGAAAGCTTTCACCTTCATATAGATGCAGCTATTGTGGAGTCAGCTTAAGCGATGCACTGCAAATAACATGCAAGAATATTTCGTAAGCATCACGGTCAAGATATAGAACACTTAAAAATAAATGAGTATTTACATACATACCATGCAATTATTTCGTATTTACATTTCCAACACAAACATCGATATTTACATGCATAACACTCGAATCATGAAAAATCAAATAAAAAAAAACACTATCACCTACTTTTTAGGAGTGGAATACACATTTCCATGCATAGGTTTTATCATACCAAAGGGTTATAAATATAAATATGAAAGCTTAGGAGTTAGATATGTAAATAAATCAGAATTGTGTGGTATATATGTCCATTTTCCATAAATAAAAAGAAGCTAACCTATTTATGCAATATCGCTTTCCGGTGGGTGGTGGTCCGTCATCAAAGACATGGCCAAGATGGGCGTCACATACTTCACAAAGGACCTCAGTTCTCGGCATGAAAATAATCGATGCATCCAGTTTTGATTTCACATTGTTCCCAATTGGTTCATAGTAGGAAGGCCATCCTGTTCCACTGTCAAATTTTGTTTTTGATCTGCAAATAAATATTTGTAAGAAAAAAATTGCAAGAGATTAGCAACAACAATAAAAAAAGCTCTTAGTTTTGAAAAAAAAAAATGTGGGAAGCTCATTTAGTTTAGTATGTTATTTATGGTACTGTAATTCAAAGCTCACTCAAACAGCGGTGTGTCACAGCAAACACAATGGTATATTCCGGGAGATTTAGTGTTCCAGTATTCCCTGACACCATAACAGCAAAGCAAGGCCAATTAATTAGAATTATAGAATAAAAGCTACAGCTTTATACAGACGAAATTAAAATAAAAACAGTTTTTTTTTTTAGCTAAATGGAGGGGGGATGGTTAGCAACTTTTTTTTTTATGGTTAGCAACTTTTGGTATATTATTGAGGCGTGCATGTCGTTTAGGCCTTCATCCTTATGGCTTAACCTGTTATTCTGGTGTTCATTGAATCCTTCATAAAGCTCGGAAAATTATTGCATCTAGTGGGAATCAGGCATGTATGAGTAACATTTGTGGTCCATCATATTACCATATCAAGCCATGGACAATAAATTTATGGAAGATTTACATCCACACCACTCAATTCCTATGTGTTTAAATATCTTACACCTAAACATTAATTTTTACATATATTATCACCTTACCTATGCATGAAAATGCATATTTCAATTTTTAAAACTAAAAATAACAGTATTTTTTATGTAATATGAAAGTTTTGGGCAAAATAAATGTAAAAAAAAAGAATGTTTAGATGTTAGTTATATAAATACATACGAATTGGATGTTTTGTAAGTAAATGCTCCTAAATTTATTTGGGAGACATCATGGTGAAATAAGGTGGCATTTAGAATGTATACAACAATTATCAATCTCAGTGATGGAACTAGAGGGTAGCTCGAGGAGACACCACCCCTAAACTTTCACTAAACTCTATAATATTATTTAATACACTAAAACTCGAGACATCATGGTGAAATAAGGTGGCATTTAGAATCTCAGTGATGGAACTAGGGTAGCTCGTGGAGACACCACCCCTAAACTTTTACTAAACTCTATAATATTATTTAATACACTAAAACTTTGCCCTCCATATTTAAATATGTAATAATAATTATATTTTAAATTAATAATAATATTTATAACAATTTTAAAAGTTTTTCAAGAAGATAAAATCTTTAAACTTGAAAACTAGTAACCTCTTAATTTTTTATTTCACCACTTCTCTCCTTAAATTCTAATTCCACAATTAATCAATCCGTTCACCTCATCAAGGAACTCTTAAAAACTGGTTGTGACAATGTCATTCTACCTTGATAAGTATCTTTGTGTGTGTTCTCTGAAGTTTGCAAAAAGGAGAGCTTTTATGTAGGCATGAATTTCTTTGAGGTCCCGTCCTAAGATGGAAGCAATAGCACGTGGTGTGGGATATCTATCATATCTTCATCAATTGTCCCTTCGTAGATAAAGTTTATACACTGATGACATGTGGGTTTACATACAATTTGGACCTTTTATTACGAAACATAGATTATTAAAGAACTTTTACTTCTAGTTTCAAATTTTGTGGCAACAAAGAGAGCTTTTGACATGAACGGGAGCTAAAATAAACGAGCATCTTGCAATAGATATTTGGGAGAACCAAATAAAAGGCAAATTTGATTAATATGAAAGCAAACAAACAAGATACGAGGGGTGATCTACACTTCGAGAGATAGATCGCCTCTCCAAAAAGCATAGATGGTGCTAGGAATGTAAATATTTTTATGTAGGCATGAATTTCTTTGAGGTCCCATTTTAAGATGGAAGCAATAGCACGTGGTGTGGGATATCCATCATATCTTCATTAATTGTCCCTTCGTAGATAAAGTTTATACACTGATGACATGGGAGTTTACATGCAATTTGGACCTTTTATTACGAACCATAGATTATTAAAGAACTTTTACTTCTAGTTTCAAATTTTGTGGCAACAAAGAGAGAATTTGACACGAACGGGAGCTAAAATAAACGAGCATCTTGCAATAGATATTTGGGAGAACCAAATAAAAGGCAAATTTGATTAATAAGAATGCAAACAAACAAGATACAAGGGGTGATCTACACTTCGAGAGATAGATCGCCTCTCCAAAAAGCATAGATGGTGCTAGGAATGTAAATACATAAGAAAAGCTGCAGCAAATCAAAACATAAGAAAAATCCTAGCTAAATAACCCTAATAAATACTCCACAAAATCCATTCAAACTTCCGCCAACAACTCCCCCCTCCCCTAAATCCATTCGTCTTGTACGTGATTAACAGCCCTGTGGGCCCCACCCGAAACATGGAATCATCCTCAGGAGCCCCTAGGGCTTCCGTCCCTCGGTTGGGCTGGTTGCCTTTGCTAGACAGGTTGGTATGTCTAAGTTTTACCCGTCCAGATCGGAATTCCTTGAATAAGCACGTGAGCGGGCGTATCAACACTCTCCTTCAAAACAAGCACCTTGTCCTCAAGGTGGAATGATGAAATTTGCTTTTGAATCACTTCGTAAAGATCCCACGGTGCTTCATACTTTGACAGATCTTTCCACTTAATCAGCATCTCCATTGATCCAAACACTCCTCGGGAGCACACCTTTCACCTCCAACAGTTCTAGAATATCTCCATGTCCTATGTCAGCGCCAGAGATAGTGAAAACGAGGGTGTATGATCTCCGATAGGACGCCTCAACTATGATACATGAAAAATTGGATGCAATGATGATGATGATGGTGGTAACCTCAAATGGTAGGTCACTGCCCCAATGCATGCCATAACTAAATAGAATTTAAAATATCATGAAGAAAGTTTCTTGCTCCTCATCCTGGCCAATGCCTTTTACCGATAAGGTCTCAACTTCAAATAAACTGTACCCGGACTTGACTTGTACGGTAGAATGATGAAATTTGCTTTTGAATCACTTCGTAAGAATCCCACGGTGATTCATACTTTGACAGATCTTTCTACTTAATCAGCATCTCCATTGATCCAGACACTCCTCGGGAGCACACCTTTCACCTCCAACAGTTCTAGAATATCTCCATGTCCTATGTCAGCGCCAGGGATAGTGAAAACGAGGGTGTATGATCTCCGATAGCATGCCTCAACTATGATACATGAAAAATTGGATGCAATAATGATGATGGTGGTAACCTCAAATGGTAGGTCATTGCCCCAATGCATGCCATAACTAAATAGAATTTAAAATATCATGGAGAAAGTTTCTTGCTCCTCATCCTGGCCAATGCCTTTTACCGATAAGGTCTCAACTTCAAATAAACTGTACCCGGACTTGACTTGTACGGTGGAGAACATTTCCTCCATCCCGGATTTGATTTTTCCTATTTCTCCTTCCAATCTCTCTTCCAATAAATTTACTTTCTTCGTTGTCGTCTCTCCAATATCTTGCTTTAATACCAATTTGATACAAGATATGTGAGAAAACCCAAGATAGGGCTAAATTGATAAATATTAAAACAAACAAACAAGATATACGGTAGATCATCTCCACAAACTCTAGCCGTCACTAGGAATACAAAAACAAAAGAAAAACTGCAGCAAATCAAAACATAAAGTAAACCTAACCCTAATAAATACTCCCCAACATCCAGTCAAACTTCCCCCTTACAACCCCCATTAATTTCTCTTCCCTTATACGTGATTAACATCAGTGTGATCCCCACCCAAAATCTGGAAGAATCCTCAGCAGCTCCTAGGGCTCCCACCATTAACATCAGTTTGATTGGTCATGACCAGTCTTCCCTGGACCGGCTCGTCTGTAGCAAAAATAGGCCTATCAACTTCCTTTCATGCTATATAAAATCTCTCAAATTTGAAAAGCTGCAATAGTCACCTGGCATCTGGAAGGGCAGATATATTTGGTACAACTCATCAAGTGTGTATCTTACCGGATGGCCGAATAATTAAAGTTGAGGATCAGGAAAAAAAAATGAAGGTTTGTTTCACTGTAATTTAAAAAAGCTTAGCATGATGACTTTCTCTTTGCTCTTGCCACAAAAAAAATCGAATAGTTTGGGTTCCCCTAATTGATATTTGCACAAAAATGTAGGCAAGGCGGCAGGCTACCTCACTTTTGACTGTTTCTAAAGTTATGTTAACTTCGACGTCAAGTAGTTTGGCTAATCAATTACTCGAGCAGAATGTTCTTATAAATCCAATAGCAAGAGACTAAGTGCTTTGGCCTTAACAATTTAAAGATATTCCTACATCTCTTATCCTCAGCATGGGCGAAGAGTAATATAAAAAGAATGAATAGCTGGTTGATACAGTGATTCATAATCAGCTGGTTTTTATCATTAAAATTGAACTTCCATATTTTTTACTTTATCGAATCAGCTATTCTGTTTTGAAAGAAATCTATTTCTGTTAATGTAGCTAAGTTTTAACAGTAAGATTACTTTACACGTTTTTATCAATAAAATAAATAAACAAATAAAATGGGAAATTTACATAGATACCACCCAATACCATGTAATTACATATCTAAAACCTAAACTTCTTTTTTTTTTCTCATTTATGCCACCCAAGCCTTTCATAGCACATCAAAAATACCATCAATTTAACTTCTGAAAAGTAAAATAGACCTCACGCGTAAGTAAGGTGGCATGTATGTAAAAATTGAAGTTCAGATGTTAGATATGTAAGTACATTGGGATTGAGTGGAATGCATGTCAATCTTCTGAATAAAAAATCAGAGCTTCGAATATTTATTATTCTAATATTTTAGTTCACTGATAAGAAAAATATTCAGAAGAAAAACAAAAAGAGCAAACTGAAATCTGGGATCCAATTGGTTTACCCGGTAAAAGCCCTCTCAGTGCCCTTTTGGCGGGTGATGTAGAATTGTTCTGGTGTGAGGCGTCTTTTCCACTCATCATCACTTACAGGGACATGACTACCTTTGCCTAAATCTTTCAAACCAGAGATAAAATAAGATCAGTTTCTGTGATGCTGCTTTGTTCAGGGAAACTATTAAATGAATGGTATTAAACAAGTACTAGAAATCAGTATAAAAAAACAAAAAAAAAATTTTTTAAGAAAACCAGATCGAAAATAAGCATGAGAGAAATTTATCTTCATTAACAAAAAAAAAATTCCTCCAAGCATTATCCAATTGTCAAATTTTTGGGATATGTATTTGGTACAATGGAGGATACACCCAAACATTACAGAGATATATGCATACAGAGAATGATTACTTATTTCCAATACGAATTTTACGTGAGCCATGGATCACATTTTGCAATTTGCTACAAAAGAATATTTCAATAGGCATTCAAGTTTGTCTCAACCGTGAACTTGATATTTAATTTAATCATAGATGCCAAAGTACACTTCAAATTAAATTTTAGAAACCGTCTAAGAAGCCGAAACACATTATTCAATGAAATATGAGAAACCCTCAAAGCATTAGTTCATGTGGGGAAAAAAATACCTCTCATTATAAGCAAGCTAGTATAGAACGAGAAAATCAGAGAAAAGGCGGTGAAACTAAGGATGGAAATTCAACTATGCACCAACATAATTCATGAGGAAAGCATTCCAGTTGCAAAAAAAATTGAGTTGCAAAAAAAAAAGAAATTTGAACCATAATTCATTTTTCTTGGCTAGCAAGGGTCTGTTTTAAAATTCACTCCAGCTTAATGCTAAGCTTTTAAGGAAATATTAACTTGAGGAAGATTTGCATCTATACCACATTTCTTATGTATTTATATACTAAAACCTAAACCTCAATTTTTACATACATGCCACCTTAACTATGATTGGAAAGGTGTATTTCAATATTTGAAAATTATAATTATTGCTTTTTTTAATGTGATATGAGAGATTTTGCTGGTTTAGATGTAAAAAAGTGAATTTTAGGTGTTATATATGTAAATACACAGGAATGGGGTGGAATGTATGTAAATGCCCCATAATATTATTGGCTAGCAGGAAATTAGTAGCCCAGTAAATATAGAACAATTTTTTTCATAACAAAACTAAAATAAGAGAAAATATTGAAGCAATATTAAAAAGTAGATACCCAACCAAATTTCATCAATAACGAAACCAAGTCAACTCGGAGGAAGAAACTATGGTGCAAACATATGCCAATACAATTGATTTTCTTTAAGCATAAAAAATTTGGATGGTGCCCAAATATAGTAAAACTGACAAATCTCTCATCAATAAGAATAAAAAATATCCTAATTCTATTGCCAAAAATACCAAAAAAAAAATCATACCAAGTACATGAGCATTCTCTCACCTCAAGACCTAAGGGCTTGGACTTCCTCCTTATACTGTATTACAACCCTGAAAACTTAAATCCAAATGAAGATACTTGAAGAATGCCACACTCACATTGGACCACAATCAAATCTCCGCTCTCCTTGCCTTCCTGGAATTTTTTATTCTGCTATAATAAACCATCTGCAATCAGCAGTATTTCCGTTTAGACGTCCTATTTACATTCCTCTATCATGCTATAAGCCTGAAGTGTTAAGTAAAAGTTTTTTTAGTGTAACTCGCTATCAAGAGCGGAACCACGTTATCTCCAAGGTTGGCAATTTTTTGTCATGAAATTTGAGATTTCTTTATATAAGTAATAAAATTTAATATTTTTTTCTAATAAGTTCAGATAATTTAGTAGTTTTTTCCCTAGGATATGCTATTTGCCCAATTCTTAAAAAACAATAAATATTTGGTGATTTTGCTCGTACAAAAAAAAAAAAAAAAAAGTTAGTTCCGCCCCTAACAGCTACCAGAAGTTTTAGTTCTTGGACGATTGATCTTTATTTAGTACTGATATCTTCTTGATAGATAAATACAAAATTTCCTTATGCTCCTTCTCCATTATTCTAGAGTTTGTTGTGGGTGGCTTAATTTGCTAAGATGTATTAGAGCTAACATTCATGTGCAATGGCGAATGACAGTGAACAACAGGCAATTAATGGAGATTTGAGTTAGAAGCCTTAGGGGCGGCTCAGTCAACCTTTGACAAACAAATAAACGATATCACCATAGTGTTCCTCCTATTCACGAAGGTGATGCAATGAATTTCAAATCCTTAAGATGAGAAGAATTGCAAATCATGCAACCAAACCACGTTAGTCTAGATGGTGGAAAGGCAAGTGACGGATTCCTAGTTGGTTTTGGATGAAAAAGTCACTTTCTTTCAATCAGGATGAAATCAGGCAGCTAAATTAGAAGTTTTCTATAAATAGGAGCTTCCTTATTTAAAGGATTTCTAATATATTTATCCTGATTTATTTCCCTTTTAGCTAAATATTTAGATTAGGATTTCGTATTATATTAAGTTATCTTAAAAAGATTATACAAAATATTTTGTAACTAAAATAGATTGTAAGATTATTATTTAATGGAATGAAAGCAAAAGGAAAAGGATGGAGCCTATTCAAAAGTCAACCTATTTTTCTCAAAACTTTGACACGTTATCAGAGCTAAATGTTTGCCCTAACCGCCGATAATTGTTGGAGAACCGTCAATACTCCTTTCCCGCCGACCTTCTTGTCGGAAGGAAAGGGAGGAACTATTTCTTCGCCCTGATTCTCGCTTGTTTGCTCGTCGTCTCATTATTTCTTCACCAACGTCGTCTTCGTTCTACTTCATCTTCCTCTTCGACTCGCTCGACCAGTCTCAATAGAGCCTCTCCTTCGTTCGAAATCCACCCTCAGTGGCTCCCGCCTCTACCTCGCTTCTTCATCGCACTCAAGGATTGAAGGCTTGGGCACTCATGACTTGGGCAATCTCGGCTTCGGCACTCACGCTCAGTCAACCTTTGAAAAACGAATAAACGATATCACCACAGTGTTCCTCCTATTCACGAAGGAGATGCAATGAATTTCAAATCTTTAAGATGAGAAGAATTGCAAATTATGCAACCATAGACGTTAATCTATATGGTGGAAAGGCAAGTGACGGATTCCAAGTTGGTTTTGGATAAAAATCACTTTCTTTCAATCAGGATGAAATCAGGCAGCTAAACTAGAAGTTTTCTATAAATAGGAGTTTCTTTGTTTAAAGAATTTCTAATATATTTATTCTAATTTATTTCTCTTTTAGCTGAATATTTAAATTAGGATTTCGTATTATATTAAGTTATCTAAAATAGATTATACAAAATTTTTTGTACCTAAAATAGATTGTAAGATTATTATTTAATGGAATGAAAGCAAAAGGAAAAGGATGGAGACTATTCAGAATTCAACCTATTTTTCTCAAAACTTTGACATGATATCAGAGCTAAATTTTTGCCCTAACAGCCGATAATTGTTGGAAAACCGTCAATACTCCCTTCCCGCCGACCTTCTTGCCGGAAGGGAAGGGAGGAACTATTTCTTAGCCCTGATTCTCGTTTGTTTGCTCGTCGTCTCATTATTTCTTCACCTATGTCGTCTTCGTTCTACTTCATCTTCCTCTTCGACTCGACCAGTCTCAATAGAGCCTCTCCTTCGTTCGAAATCCACCCTCAGTGGCTCCCGCCTCTACCTCGCTTCTTCATCGCACTCAAGGATTGAAGGCTTGGGCACTTATGACTTGGGCACTCACGGCTTCGGCACTCACGGCTTCGGTATCTCAGCTTCAACACTTTTGGCGTGAAGATCAGGGAACAAATAGTCCTCGTCATCGCAGGAAGAATCAATAACATTTTTATCGTATAATAGGATGCAGATCCTACCTGTGGGCTATGATTGGTAGCATTTGGATTAGGACTCGGATCAACTTGTAGGCTATGATCGATAGCAATTGGATCGTGTAATTGGATCCTACTTGTGGGCTATGATCAGTAGCATTTGAATCAGGATACGGATCCTACTTGTAGGCTATAATCGATAGCATTTGGATCATGTTACTGGATCCTATTTGTGGGCTATAATCGGTAGCATTTGGATCGTGTAACTGGAAGTGGATCCTCTTGTGGATATGATTCGAATTTCTAGACGACAATGATAAAGAATTTTTTGCTTTTCTTTAGTCAAATCATGTTATGGTTCAAGAGTTGTCTCTGAGGCTTCAGCATTCTCGATTTCGGCACTTTCAGCTTCAACACTCAAGGCTTGAGTATTGTTGGTCTCGGCAGTGTTATCAATTTCTTGTTAGCAAATTGATGCTTCCTGCTCAGTCATTATCAATTTGAGGGGGATTTCAATCAGGAAAGGACAAAAATCAGGCAACTAAATTAGAAGTTTTCTATTACTAGGTGCTTCCATATTTAAATTATTTCCAATATTTTTATTCTGAATTAAACTAGGTGCTTCCTTATTTAAATTATTTCCAATATTTTTATTCTGAATTATTTCTCTTTTAGCTGAATATTCAGATTATGATTATGTATTATTAGGTTACCTAAAATAAGATTATACAAAATATTTTATACCTAAATTAAATTGTAAGATTATTATTTAATGGAATAAAAGCAAAAGGAAAATGGTGGAGCCTATTCAGAATTCAACATATTTTTCGCAAAAGATAGATACTTTCAACCAACCGATTTCAAAAAGATGCTGCACCTACATCATAAGCACTGTTCATAAGGAACGTACTCTATCATCAAATATACAAAAGAGTATCAAAAATTGAGCTTGAGGAATAATCTGAATCAAATAAATGATAATTGGTGGCTCAATACATGGGAGGTCTAAATTAGGGCCCTCAAGAAAATTTGAAAATGAATTCTATTTGGTCATTATCTCAAGCTATCAACTTTGCTTACATTGTCGAAATTTAGCTTACAATCCAAATATCGTAATATATTCATACAATTGTCCAAGAACATTGTATTAGTTGGTTCCACTCCAAACGAATCAACTTTGCCTACATTCCAAACTCCAAAGAATATCTCCTATCAATCCCAGACAACAATTAATTTAAAATTCCTAGAAAACAAAAAAATCAACAATTAAACTCCACCTGGGCATGATAATCCTTACATGAAATCCATGACACTAAAGTGCATTTAATGCTTTTAACCAACTCAAATCAGTGTCGAATCATAGACAAGTAGATTTTAATCGAGGGAATTAAGCAGGCAATGTATGAGCAAAATGCTTATATTAGGCCACAAAAGTGATGATGAAATATAAGGTGATTAAGGGAAATCTAAACTATTGTGGCATAACAAAACTGAATTTTTAGAGCCCGATACACCATTATTAGCAAAGTTTGTGGGCTCTTAATTAATAGTGGTTGCACTGAAAATACAATGTCGATGGTCATTAAGTGTTGAATGCAAACACTACCAAGCATCCATATCCATATCGTAAGATTTACACAATATCTTACGATGCTTGCTCTAGTTCAATATTGGAGCTTCATATGCTTGTCGAGCCAACGCCTACTCCTCCAATTGAAAGATCTCTGAGATAGCCAACTTTCATCACCCACTGCACCTCACCTGTGAGTATAAGTAATCACCTTTGGGCCATATACAAGAAATCTCAAGCATTATTAGCACAAGTATTGAGGCAAATGTTGCAGTAACCAAAACATTAGCACCAATGTGAAGCATACTTGAAACATTCCCTAATATCAAACCATTTGACCCTTGTGATCTATTTCAATATAAGATTGTGTAAGTGGAACCTGTTCCACTGTTCTTATTAAGAAATTAATTAATTGCTTCTTAATTAATTAATTAATTCTCCTTCCAATTTAATCTCCCGCTTTTCTTTTCCGGACCTGCCTTCTTTCTTTCCTATGGAGGGTCCCACCATCTCCTTTTTCCAGAACAGCTTCCCGCTCTCCCGCCTCTTTGATGGATTTCACGAATTGAAGCATTGAATTTAAAAGACCGAACAGGAGCTTTAAAAGCTACAGGAAGTTATCGCATGTTGGTGTGTGAGGGCTCTTCCTTTGATCGCTGCTCCCCTTTTCTTGGCTTCAATGCTTGGCTAACAGAAAAGGAGAAAAAAGGCTTCGCACAGGTTCTTCTCCTCTTCGGTGTGGCTCTCAGTTTAGAGAGAGAGAGGAAAGAAAGGAGAGAAAAAAAGCTTAGAGTTCTTATTCTTTTTCTTCTTCTCAGTGTAGCTCTCGGTTTAGAGAGAGAGACGGGGAATGGGAGGAAAGAGAGAGAGAAAGAAAAAGTGCTCTTCTGTAATCGTCGAGGTGATCGACGAGTGTATTCCTCGAAGCTAATAAAATCCTCTGCAGCTCTGTGGATGTAGGTAATTTGTCGAACCACATAAATCTGTGTGGAAAGGAAGGAGAAGAAGTGATGACATCGGGGATCGAGAAGTTCAATGACACAGATTTTAATTACTGGAGGATGCATATTGAAGACTGCCTCTATGGGAAGAAACTTCAACTTTTGTTACTGGGAAAGAAGCCAGAAAAGATGGACGAAGCAGAATGAAATCTATTGGATTGATAGATTATGGGGGTTGTACGATTAACCTTGTCAAGATCTGTTGCTCATAACGTCATAAAGAAGAGGATTACTGCAGATCTCATGACGGTTTTATCAAGTATGTATGAAAAGTAATCGGCGAATAACAAAGTGCACATGATGAAAAAGTTATTCAATTTGAAGATGGCAGAAAAGGTGTCGGTTGTTCTACACTTGAATGATTTCAATACTATCACAAATTAATTATTATCTGTCGAAATTGATTTGGATGATAATATACGTGCACTGATATTGTTGGCTTCATTATCAAATAGTTAGGAAGTCATGAGAATGGCAGTTAGTAGTTCTGCAAATAAATTCAAACTAAAATATTATGATATTCGTGATTTGATTTTGGCTGAAGAGATACGTAGGAAAAATTCTGGCGAGACCGCGTGTTCGAGTTCGGCACTGACTGCTGATTCCAGAGGTAGATCACAGGACAGAAACTAAAAAAGAGGAAGATCAAAATCAATTTTTTGTCAGCAGGCAACTTGCTGGAATTGCGGCAAGACTGGCCACATAAAAAGAAACTGCAGGAATCTTAAGAAGAAAGAGAATAATAACGCTAATGTTGTAACTGAAGAGATACAGAATGTGTTATTGCTAGCAGTTCACAGGTCTGTTGATGATTGGATATTGGATTAAGGGATTTACTTCCATACATCTTCCCACCAGGAGTTGATGCGAAACTATGTTGCATGTAACAACTTAAAAAGATACTAAAGTTTTTGTAAAAGAAAAGTACTTAATATGACTATGTTACATGTAACAACTTAAAAAGATACTAAAATTTTTGTAAAAGAAAAGTAGTTAATATGAAAATATATTTCTTCTTATCATGAATCCGTAATGAGTATAGGAGTTCTGTTGTGGAATTATGCAAATTGTGTTGTGTCAAATATGAGCAATAATATTCTTTACCCTTACTAGAGATGCTATAAAGAACATTGGCTAATTTAAAGTTTGAATAGTCCTGAACACGGGCTAGGCAGGGAAGATACTAGCTCTCGCTCTAGAGTTCCCTCGATTCCCTCCACCTGAGGGCTAACATTCTCGTATCAGAACCTAAAACAATAAACCAAGTTGGGGGCTTTAACCTGTCACTTTAAAGTCCTCTAACTCTACACCAATCAATGAATATTTTTCTATTTATTTGTACTCAATCATATGAACTACATTCTCATTTATACAACCTCATGTGATTCTTTCCAATTGTTGACTGAGACATGTTCTCACAACAAATTTTAATATCTGGATTTGTCAAATCAAAAAGTAAATGAAGTGCATCGATTTAAATCATCACAACTTCTTCCAACATCAAAGATCAATACTCTCCACAACTTCCATCGAGTCTTCACAAAATAGCCCATAGCCGCTCTTTCGTAAGACGATGGTCTTGTGCCAAAGATGCTAGACATCAAAGGAAAATAGGAATTGACTAGAATTTTCTAAAAGGGTGAGTCTCAATTCTAGTTTTCTAGGACGGTCAATAGGAACTCCTAGAACTAGATCCTAGGCTCTAAGGAGGAGAAAAGAAGACCTCACAAAAATGAGGTCAACATCACTCAAAACAAAATAACAAAAAGAATAAAGTAAATAAAAAATGGTTTCTGAAAATCTCTCTGAACTAACTCCACAGAAAAGAACTTTCAAAACTTATCAATATTTTCACGAGTTTTTTCTAAGTCCTCACTTCTTTCTTTTATAGTTTTTCAAGAGGTGCATTGAGATCTCTTCAAAATGTGTCTTGATTCGATGTATTTGCCCAAGAGATATACCCTTTCATGATAATTTTCGTCCATGGTGGTTACAACTACCTATTAAGCCAATTGGTGCCTCAAAAACCTCTTCGAAATTCTTGAAAACCGATTTTACTCATCTAGTAACTGCCACTAGCACTTAAATGCGGGGTCTCAGCGCTTATGCGCAGCCTTCACTGTTTAACAGGCGCTTAAGAGTCGGATCTGGCGCTTAGGCGCCAAAACTCTTTTGCACAATTTTTCACATTTTTGCTCCAAATTTGATCATTTTTCACTCCTTTAAGCATTTTTGTTTTCATTTTTACTTGTATCTGCAAGAAAAAACACAAAAATATCTTCCATTAAAGCGTAATATCTCAAAAATAGGTATAAAAATATGTCTAAAAACACTATATATTTTAGGTGTATCAACTGTTTTGTTTTTTGTTCAGATCGCTGCGATTTACAATTTCACCTACATGATCATTGAAACTGATTCAA